CGAGAGGGCGCCGCGGCCGTTATTTTCCAGGCTTGCGCCCGCCAGGCTTGGGTCCGAGGTCGTTTTCACTAAACCATGTTTTTCTAAAGGGAGGTCTGTCCATCCCCGATTTTTGGATTCTGACCCCGCCGATCTGCATGATGGGTGCCACCGAATATCAGAAATGTGGCGATCCGCTGTGTTTTTGCGCCCTGACCCCGCCGATCTGCGTGAGGGGCGCCACCGAATTTCAGAAATCTGGCAAATGCCATGTGTTGCTGGACCCTGACCCTACGGATCTGCGTGAGGGGTGCCGCCGAATTTCAGAAATCTGGCAAATCCGCTGTGTTTTTGGCCCCTGACCCTGCCGATCTGCGTGAGGGGTGCCACTGAATGTCAGAAATGTGGCAAATCCGCTGTGTTTTAGCACCCTGACCCCGCCGATTTGCGTAAGGGGGTGTCAGCGAATTTCAGAAATGTGGCAAATCTTTTGTGGTTTGGGACCCTGACCCCGCCGAACTGCGTGAGGGGTGCCTCCGAATTTCAAACATGTGGCAAATCCCATGTGTTTTTGGACTCTGACCCCACCGAGCTGCGTGAGTGGTGCCGCCGAATTGAGAAATGTGGCAAATCCGATGTGTTTTTGGACCATGACCCCACCGATCTGAGTGAGGGGGGTCAATTTTTACCCACCCAGGCAATTCAGACAATACGTTTTGGCCGTGGTAAAAATGCCAGTTTGGGGCCTCCCCCCCTCGCGCGGTCCATCAACAAGGAATAGTAAGCAGCAAGAAGCAGAATTGTAACAAGGAGCAGTAAGTAGCAAGAAGCAGATCTGTAACAGTGGAAACTGGAAGCTGCAACAAGTATGGGAAACTGCGAACCTTCAGCCTACAGCCTGGTGGCCCCACAAGGGGGCCGGCGGACGTATATACATACACACATACATATGTATATACATAACTATATACATAGGGAGAGAGGGCCCATGAGAAAAGCAGAGAGATAGAGGGAACCCTCATGTAAATGACTTCGGACCCCCATTGGATGGCCCACCCTTGTTTTCGCATTCTCAAGATGGCCCCAAGAGAGCTCTGGACAATCCTACAGGTCCGGCGAAAGCTGCTCTTCAAGGCCATCGTTGTCTCCGGGACAGCTCGCGAGCACTCCGACACGACCTTAAGATAGCCCTAACATGGCCCACGATGGCTGCAGACCGGCCCAAGTCGCCCCCTAGACACCCTAAGAGGGCTTCAAGAGGACCCCCAATGAGGCCTCCAGAGGCAAAGCTCGTTGATGCTCTATCTGTTTTCCATTCGTCTTAGCGTTTTTCACGTATCTGGCTTTTGAAATCCCAAGACGGACCAAAAGGCCCCCAAGGCAGTCGCGAGACGGCCCAATTCGACCCGAAGAGTGCCCCAAGACAGCCCAAGAGACCCCAGGACGGCGTAAGATGCCCCCAAGGAGACATCAGGGGAGCTCAAGTTGTTGAAGGCGGACACATCCTGGTGACATTCTTCCCCAGGTACCCAGTACCCCTCAGATGCCCCCAAAAGGTCACGAAAATGCTCTCAGAGGCCCCCACGAGACCCTGAGGAGAACCCAAAAGGGCTCCACGAGGACCCCCCAGGGAGTCCAAACGGCCCCATGGACCCTGCCACTCCCAAGGTAACTCGATAAGGTCTCCCCCTCGTCCTTCTTCCCTCTCCGACTGCCATAGAGTCTGGTGACAACGCCCAGGCATTACGCGGTCCGAGAAAAGACTCAGGATGGCTCCAACAGAATTCCGAGCGACCCGACAACATCTCCTGCAATTTTAGATGTTGCAGGGTTGCCCCATACAGGCCCGGAAGCAGACCGCAGTGTCTACACACGCGTCCCCAGACGGCATCATGGAAGCTCCAGAATGGCCCCGAATACATCCCAGAGACCCTCGAACGTGGCCCCAGATGGCGTCGAATGGAGGCTGAGACAGCCTAAGAGATCCGCAGGACCGTCGAAGACGGCTGCAAGCTGGCCCAGGACGGCCCCACGACAGCCCAGGCGCAAGAGATAGCACAAGCAGGCCCGACAGGGTCCAGAATTATCCTCAGATGGCCCCAGGAGGGCCCACTATACAACTACCACAGCCAAAATACAATGAATGCCAGCGATGTTGTCAGCTGTGTTATCCCTAAGGGCTTCGCCCCCTGCCGCCGGCCTCTCTCGGACAACGGGTAATGCAAGAGCGGAAGCATGAGGCCTTGGCGCCGCCGTGAAGACGCGTCGGGACTTCACGCGAATACGATAAGTAATCGGCAAGACAGATTGAGATCCTGATGATATTGTTGGAGGAGGAGGAGGAGGAGAAGGAGCCGTCGTGTGGGAGGAGGAGGAGGAGGAGGAGGAGGAGGAGGAGAAGGAGGAGGAGGAGGAGGAACACATGAAAATGGAAAGGTGTCGGAGTCCAAGGTGCTTGCAACAAAATTCCGTCCCCGGATGGGGTTTCAACGTTGTTTTGCCCAGGGTAAGGAGAAGTCGCAAGATCTCGTGGCGAAGTGGTTGCGAGCAAACAAATTCTTCTGTCGAAACTGGATGCCCTAGCCAGCTCAACTTGCTAACAGAACCTACCCAACCCAACCAGCCACCCGGCCCAGCCAACCAGCCAACCCCGCCACCCGGCCAGACCGTCAGCTAACCAGCCCAATCAGCCATCCCCAATCATCCTGCCAACCCGCCCACCCCCGCCGCCTTCGTCACCGCCAAGAGGGGGAGCGAAGAGTTTCTTGCCAGCGAAAACGCGAACACTCACCCTCCCAGGGCCAGGCGTGACATCGGGGGGTGGTAAACCGCACCGTACCGCGGGAAACCGACTTCGCGCCGAGGGACGTCATAGACGGTCTTGGGCCTCAAGTGTGAGATTGTCATCACTTTTGTATTCTTCATCGCACCCTCTTCTCACTAGACAGGCTCCCATCCGCGAAACTGCCGTCACCTTTGAGGCCCCACGCGGGGCGTCTTGGAGGGCCCGCGAGGACAGTCTGGGGAAGCCACATCGCACAGCACTGCGGGGGACCGCTGCACTCGACAGCTTGGGAGGCCCCATGGGGTCGCAGGAAGCTCTGCAGGAAGCCCAGGAGGTCGCAGGAGGCACCAGGAGGCCCCAGGAGGCCCCACGAGGGACCAGGAGGCCCCACGAGGTCCTAGATCCCAGGAGGCCCCGGGACCACCCCATAACGCCCCAGGGGGTCCCGAAAGGCCCCGGGACGCGCCAGTGGACCCCAGGAAACTCCAGGAGGGGTTCCAGGAGGCTCCTGGAAGGTTCCCCTGCGCAGGAGGGAGGGGGGGGGGGAAGGGAGGGAGGGAGATGAGGAGGATGAGGCCGCCAGGGGAGGACCAAGATCCGAGATTGAACAATTTCGATGCTCTGACCCCAGACCCCTCGCATCGCATCAATACAGTCAACCATCATAGTAAGGATGGGGCAACTTTCCAAGGCTACCCTTGCATCCTTGCCCCTTCGGTATTCGGCATCCTTCGGCATTCTGCTGCTCTCCGCACGGAAAACGTCAACACGGCGTTGCAAGGCCTTTGCGTCCTTACCGCGCATCCTTACTATCCTGGTCGAGTGTATCACAACTGGCAATTTTTTACAGTTCTCAGCCTCCCGCGGCCCCTGCAGGCCAGGGGACCGTCACAAAACTACTCCCGGGCAAGAGTTCGCGACCACAGCGGCGCCGACATTTTGAAACAGGCACCACGTTGGAGTTCTAGGGACGGGGCTCGAACATCGGACCTCACGAAATGAAGTCTTCGGATGTCCCTGGCACATCTTTGACTTTCCGAGGGCCTGTTTGGGAATTCCCGAGAGCCTCGGGGGTGAACCTCCCGCGAAAGGACGGGACAACACGACGCCCCACAGAATGAGTTGCCCTGCGAGGGCGTTGATCTCTCTCTCTCTTTCTATCTCCCTCTCTTTCTCTCTCTCTCTCTCTCTTTCTAGATCTCTTCTTGGTTGCTATGCCTCTATCTTTTTTTTTTTGTTCTCTCTCTCTCTCTCTTTCTCTCTCTCTCTCTCTTTCTCTCCTCCCTCTTTCTGATTCTCCGTGTTTCGCTCTTTATTTCTCTCTCTCTCTCTCTCGCCCTCTCCTCTCTCTCTCTCTCACGCGCGCGACATCAATAGAAGGGAACAGGAAGCTGGAATGCTCAGACCAGGGGCGACCACGGACCTGCGTATCATGCAGGCTGCGCTCTGCCACGCAGCTCGCGCGTGTCCTTTTGGGGGAGGGAGGGGCCTCCGGGGCCCCCAAATGGGGTCCGACCACGTGGGGTCGGAGGATCGCGCCGCCGCGCCGCTGCATCGGCGACACGGCTTGACGTGGAGCCCGGTTTTCTCAGCGCTGGCGTCGCCGACGCATCGCCGACGCCGCCGATGTGATCCACGCAGACGGCGCCAGTGCGTCGGCGGTGCGGCTCGATCTCCCGACCCGAACTGCTCGGACCCCATTCGGGAGGCCTCCAGAGCAACTGCCGACGAAGCTTTGAGTCGGGCCTGTCCCCCTACAGGCGGCTTTTGGGCGAAGAATTCAACATACCCCAGACATGCTCAAATATATGTAGCCAAAAATCGTCAAACAATCGTCCCCAGTACTGTTTTTTACTATTTGTAAATATTCCTTCTGTAGAGGGACAGGCCCGACTTAGACGAAGCTTCGGCTCGGTCATCACCCGCTGTGCTCCCAGAGCCCACGGGGACATCCCCCCGAGAGTGCGGCCGAGCGGCCGGGCGTGTCGGACGACCTCCGCGTCGTCGTCGCCGTCGTCGCCGCCGTCGTCATCGTCGTCGCCGCCGTCGCCGTCGTCGCCGCCACCGTCGTCGTCGTCGTCGTCATCGTCGCCGCCGTCGCCGCCGCCGCCGTCGCCGCCGCCGCCGTCGTCGTCGTCGTCGTCGTCGTCGCGTCCTCGTCACGACGCCGCCGCCAGCGGCGGCCGCCGCGTGCGGCCGCGCCCTGCGCGCTGCGCCGAGCGCCTGCGGCGCGCAGGCTACGAGCCGGAGATCCTGCGGGTCCAGCTCGAGAAGGGCCTGGGAGCGCTCCTGCGCCGCCGGCCGGCCGTCGCTGCTCGGGGTCCAAGATTATTGGACCCCGAGAGAGAGAGAGAGAGAGAGAGAGAGAGAGCCAGCACCCGTCGGGTTCTGCACCGCCTTCTCTGCATCGTCCTGGCGGCAGCGTCCGAGATCCCTGCAGAGCCACCGCGAACTCCTCGAACTCAGTGCTGACCCCCCCCCGGCGAGCACGTCCAGGTCGAAGATATTCACCGCCTCCAGGGGGGAGTTGGGGGTCCAAGATTCGGGGCGGCCAACGTGGGTACGGAGACCATGGGTATACAAGTGCAACAGCAGCACTTGTTCATTCTGAGCAGAGTTCGCTGTGGGCGTTGCCGTTGCCGTTGTCCATTTGAGACAAAAGGCCACCTGCCCAGCAGCGGCCGCTGTCGGTTTGGGAGCGCAGTTTTTGTTGGGTATCGTACCCACTTGTTCCGTACCCTTTTCGGACGTCCACAAGATCGGCGGCGAAATGCGAACCGCGCATTGGCCGATCCACGATTCAGGCAACTCGATAGGCGGCGGGTGTAGGGTTCGAAGTTCGTCGAGTACGTGGCGAAATGTTTGCCCTACCCCCGCGCCCCTCCGGCTCAGGAGAAGCGACGGTTGGCGCATAAACATGATCTCGGAGGTCCGCGCGGATTTTTTGGATCGTCGTTGGGCCCCCCTGGCGGTGCCTCCAGCGCCGCCCCCTGGTGCCCTCCACGCGCCTGGGAGTAGGGTTTAACCGGGCCTGGCCCTCTACAGGAGGAATATTCAAAAATAGTCAAAAAATAGGCTGAGGACGATTTGTTTTTGTATTTTTGCATATTTTGTATGTTCTGGATGTTTCTTATTTTTCGTCCAAAGTTCGCCTGTAGGAGGACACGCCCGACCTAACGCCAGGTAGTAGGGTCCAGCGCCGATCCAAGAGATTTGCACGGGCCTCCGAGGTTTCATGTTTATATGCAGTTGTTTGTTCCTGCACGGGTGGACGTACAAGAAGGGGTGATGACTGTTTAGGGGGGTATATTTTATGTCGGGCCTATCCCTTTACAGGAGGAGTACTCAAACATAGTAAAAAAATAGTCAGGGGACGTTTGTTTCCCTATTTTTGAATGTCTTTGGTATATGTTTGAGTCTGTTTTCTTCCGTCCCAAAATCCGTCTATAGGGGGACATGTCCAACCTAAGAGTATATCATGGCGGGATGCTCTCTTCTTCTGTCAGCGCGTTCCGTGCCCTGGGCCTCGGGCCATGATTCGAGACCCCCCCCTCTTGGACGCCTCTGACGCTGCTGCCGCTCCTCCCGTCTGCATGTATGTCGGGCGGCAGGGGGTGGGCGCAGGAGGTTCGGTGGAGGAGGGTTCTCCCTGACCTGATGGGGAATTGATTGGTTTGAGCACGCGCTGGAGGTGGAGGAGGAGTAAGAGGAGGCGTATCAGGAAGGAAACGAGGTAGGAAGAAAAGGAGGAGGAGCAGGAGGAGCAGGAGATGGTCCGTAGCCATGTTGGCTGAAGCCGAGAGGCTGGTCGAATCCGCGGCCATGCAGACAGGCTGCCATGTCCCGATGTCCCGACCCACACGTGGGCCCCCTGAGGCGGCGAGAGGTCAGGTTTCTGCGACCTCGCGTGGGGGCCGACTCCCAGGTAGTCTGGCAGCGGTGTCTCATGGAGCCTATCAGAAGGCAATATGCTCGCTGATCTGGAGGTAGCACTAGCTCCCAATTTCCAAGCAGAGAACAAGAGAGGGAGGGAGAGAGACACAATGATAATGCTGCTACGCCTGCACGAAGCGCCCAGCAGAATGATAATGGCTACGCTTCGGCTGATGCTGGCAATGGCCATGGTTTGCGCTTTTGCGCCAGCTGGACCAAATAATCGCATTGGGCGGCCACTTTTGCAGTCCGATTCGAAGTCGCCGCCAGCGTCGTCAAGCCGCTGGGTTCCATCGTGTCGACCGTCAAGAGCTCTTCTGGCTGCTTGGCGCAGCGGAACGGAGGATGGCAGGTGTTGCGTTCCATCTCGCAGAGCACAGGGCCCGTGCACGACCATAAGTTCGCCTCGGTGGACAGCGAGCTCGACGAGCCCAGACGCCGCAGATAAAGCAGCCAAGCGAGCCGCCACCATTAATTTTAACAGGCCTTCGGGGGCCGAAAATGAGCTTGGCAGTTCCGATCGGAGTTTGTTGCGCATTTTACCGTTTTACGTGGCCCAGGCCCCTCCAAGGGGACCCCTCTTGCCCAGCGCCCTGGGAAGAACGCCCAAGCCAGACCCGTCGCCCGCAACCCACCGATGGGATCAGCCTCCGCTGCCTACTCCTGGGACCCTGGGGCCGCCCCTCCCCCTCCGAGCCCCCCCCCCCCTCCCCCGCCTCCCTTGGTCATTCTGGCGTAGCCCATCGGTGGGGGTATCTTTACGGCAAGCACGCGCGCGCCCTACGCCGCACCAGTGCCAAGGATATAGATCAATACGAGAGATGCCCAGGTTACTGCGCTGACCAGGCCTCGCTAGCGCAACACCCTCGTGGGCGCAGATTTTTCCTTGTTTGTGAATACGTGCTCCATGGGAGCGCCATCGTGTTGTGCTTTGCGTGTGGAACATATTCGGAAGCGGGAACCAGGGGCCGTCTGTTCAGCCCATGCCCCTGTGCACCTGAGCCCAGCAATGCATATGATCAGCGTCTGAGTGCGAGGGGCCTCGCCCACCCTAAGCGAGGCTCCCGCGCATACAGGGTTTTCCAACCTCCAGTGCCCCTCGAGCTTTTCTATTGACAGGCCCTGGCGGACGCTCAGCAGGAACTTTCGACTCCAGCGGATGGAAGTGCTAGCCGGGCATTGTCATTTGCAGCTCACGAGTGCAGGTCGGCCTACGCCAGGGACGCCGCCTGCAGCCGTCCTGGCGTTTTTTTGTACACCAGGGGTGAGCAGTGCCGCGCCGTCCTGGCGTCGCCTCGGACATAGCATGCATGTGCGCGCGCGTGCGCGCGCGTCCCCGCACGCGTGTCAGGCACCCCGCCTCAGGGGGAAGGCGCCCATGAGCACTCACCCTCTGCGGCGCAGCTGCACAGAGGGCCTCCTGAGGGGCGCTGGGCACGGGTGCGAACCTGGCTCAGCCAGTCCGCCCCGACCGTAGCTCGCCCACCCCTCCTTTTCCACTGTAGCCTGAGCCCGCTGCAGGTTCGATCTGGGGTCTTTGCGTTGTTCTAGCTGGCGGCGCTGGTGTCTCGCAGCCATCCCTGGAACTCGGGCCGCGGGGTTCCGTCTGTCAGGCGATGCTGGCCGTCCTTTTCGCTGCGGCGTGCTGTTTGGCGATTCCCTGTTGCGCGGCCGTGGGGCGCTGCCTAGCTCGCCCACGGCGACTGTTGCACGGGGGGCCGCCCTCCGCGGGGCCTGGGCGCGCGGGTGGACTTGGGCGGCCAGTCCACCCCGACCGCTGCCCTAACCCATCCTTCCCCCCTTGCCCGGCGAGGGCGGCGGAGACGAGAGCCGAGGAGGTTTAGAGTGCAGTGCAAACGCCACATCTGGGCCCATCGCTCTCTTTCGGCGTCGGCATCGCCCTGCCGCCTCAGCGGTCAGCTGGTTCACCCGCGGCCGTTGTGGGGAAGATAGGTGGCCCAGTGCCGCGAGGTTTTGGGTTGGGGGTCGGGTCGGCCAACCCTTGGCCTCCCTCATCGGCCATGTGATGGCCCTCTTCCCCCTCCTCCTCCTCCTGCTCCTCCCCCCCCCCTCGCCTTCCTCCTAATCCTCCTCCTTCTCCTCCTCCTCCAGCCCCTCCTCCTCCCCCTCCTCCTCATCCGCCTCCCTGCGCCGACTGTAGACTGGATCGCCCATTATTGGAAGCCAGACGGAACACTTTTGGTGGCGCGCACGAGGCCCCTCGCGCCAGCGGGCATCTCGGCGACCGCGTTGCAGCCGCATCCGGAGGAGCAGCGCCTGTTTTCCCGAGTGTTAGTTCGAGGGCAAAGAGATGGCTGTTCGCGCCCATGTCAGGATCAACAGCAACACTGGCTACGCCAACAGGAACGTTGTTTTGTGTCTCCTAGTTTGGGCCTCTCTCCGAGGACAGGGCTGCGCTCGACGCGAAGGCTTCCGACTACTGGGCGCGCTTGGAACGCAGGCGGGTCGATTGCCCGATTCTGGCCCCTTGCCAGATGAAGCGCGAACAGTTGCTCATGCAGATGCGGGGGGGCCTTCAGGAATCCGACCCGCATAAGCACTTGTTTTGCCGACCGCGCCAAGGGCGCCGTCTCGGTCGGCTTCAAGTCGACTATCCAGATTTATTTGAATCCTGGCGACGCAGTTCCGACGGCGAAGTGGTCAGATGACAGCATCATCGCCGAGGTCATCGGCAAGGCTCGCGTCGCCGACGCGGTCCATTCCAGCGTGCCAGGGCTAGCGCCAGCGCGGTCGCCCTAACTCGCAGTCTCTTTGCTCGCGACCTCCCCCCTGTGATTCCTGGCGCGCTCGCGCCCTGCGCTCTCCGGAACTAGCCCGGCGCGGTCTGCATCTGCACCGCCGTCAGAAGTTGGCGGGCCAGGGCATTCGGATCGGGGTTCGCGGGTGTCTCCGTCTTCCCGCTCGCGCTTCAAATTTCCTCCTACCTCCTGATCCTCGCGCCTCTGGAGGTCTGAGCGCGCTCGCGCCAGACTTTGAAGCTGTGGGCGGGAGGCCGCCCGAAGTGATAGAGGACTTCCGTTGGTGCCTGGGGGGGCCATGCATGTTCTGGTAGAATTTGACAGCGGGGCTAAGTTGTAGCATTGCAACATTCAAAATTAGGGGCTGACCACTGTTCATACGGACTCGATTATAGAGGCCATCTCTCAGGACCCCCTGGCGGCCCTCGAGGACCCAGAGAAGTCGCCGACGAGGGCTCCCCCCGTCACCCTGGCCCAACCAACATCGGAAGCGGAGGCGCTCCCGGCGCCGTGCCTCGGAAGGGCGCTTTGGGCAGGCATGCGAAATCGACTTCATTGAACCGACCCGTCACAATGCAGCGGGGGGGCACG